TTTCTCCTTTCCGACCAAAACAACCCAGCCAACCACGCACACGCACTTGTAGAATCTAGTAGTCGCGAGCAGTCTTGCGAGTTTATTGTTACAACCAACCGTTTAAAATGTGACGGGAACCCGAACTTCCACAGGGGTTCCGTAATAATACCGTATACACTCGCGTATGTCCTATAAGGTGACCCGTGTATAAGACGACCACCGAGTTTTAGAAGATTTTTGGTTGATATTTGTATGTCTGGCGTATAAGACGACTTCCTGTTTCATGGTCGGAATTCCTAATTTTTTGTGGTCTTGTATACTGCGTCTAGTTGGATAAATGGAGCCAAATGCAAGGGTAATCTTCCAAATAATACCATTTTATATAAATCTTCCCCACCAAAATCGTATTTTCCCATATTTAAAATTGCTTTCATTGATACAACATTTAGTTGTTTCATTGCAGTAGTAAGTTCGCGTGTTAAGCTGGTTTTTCACTAAGCGAATTTATTCGCGCGAACCAAAGAGTCGGCTCGCTTTCTGAGCTCTGATTGGTTGCGCATTTTTTCGCTTCTCAAAAACTCCGATAGGAATGTGAATGCGCATGTGCATAAACCGACGCTTTGGATTCGCGTGAATAAATTCGCCTAGTAGAAAACCAGATTTACGGACAATCCGCACATAAGACGAACATCCGCACATAACACGAACATGAATATAAAAATCTAAAATCTGAATGTCGTGCGTATAAGACGACCCCTTTTTTTCGATCGTAGTTTGCTATTTTAAGCCTCGTTTGTACGTGAGTATAGGCCTATACGGTATTTATTTTAAAACCCTAGGTCACCTGAGCGTTAAAGGATTCCCCATACAGTGGCGGATTCAAGGGTGAAATTTTCCATGGGGAGAACCCCCGGACCCCCTTTCATTTTGGGTATTTTTGGAAACGTTTTGAACCCCCTCTTCCAAATCATGGATCCGCCCCTGAATCATGTACCTTTGTTTGCACTAAACACTTAATCTATGTTCCCCCTTTAGCTGATGTGAGGTAAGAGAGTTTATTTAAAAGATAACAGTTACATTTAATAATTTAAACTGTTCGAATGAAATACATATTTTTTATGAAGTTCAATGCAAGTTTGTACCATACTGTGTGTCTTTGTATATGCTCCATTCTAGTGGAGGTTCTATCTCTTTTGAATTTCTTTTGAATATAAATTAAATACTGTACTTAATTGATTTATTATTGCCCACTTGAATTGTATAGCCCTAGGTGCTGCAGTGTTCTTTATGTAGAGCGCCATATATAAATGATCGATGTGCTTATCCGGGTCCGATGGCACCTCCAATTCAAGCAAGTGTTGCAGAGAATCTGGAGTTAGGTTGCATGAGAATTAAGAAGATAATTCTGATAGCAACATTGATTTATTGATTGCTTTAAGTACTGCGACAATAACATTCAGAGGCGAATTTAGAAAGTTTAGATAAAAAGTATTTATTATTAAAGTTTTCATAGGTTTGTTT